CGAGTCCCGCGCTGACTAAGCACAGAGAATTTTCTGTCTTCTAACATTTTAATGTTCTAGGTCTCCTCTTAGAAGATAATCCTTCTATACGTGCCATATCTTTAGGACATGGTCATATTTTAGTGGGCACAAAGAATGGTGAAATACTGGAGGTGGATAAAAGTGGACCAATAACTCTGCTGGTTCAGGTACATTTTAAATAGCAGTCAAATATTCCATACCACAGACACTGTTCTATTTGTCAAGTAAAGACTGTTGTGCAGTAAGAAGCATTTTAATTACTAGTAAAGTTAGCAGGTGACTACATTCCACAGATTTTTTTTTAATGCTAGGCTAAACCATTATGACTTTTTAATGTGCATCCTTTCAAACAGGAAGAAAAAAAAATAAAATTGTTTTTAAAATTTGCCTCCTTGAGGTTTATTTTTAGATTTTCCTGTAATCATGTAACGAACATTTCAGTTTCCTTTGCTATACCAAACAGACTGCATTTCTTAAGCCTGACTACAAAACAGGCTTTTTACATCGTATCGTCATCTGATTTTCTTTCATAAAAGCATGTGGATCTTGAATTCACGCTTCTGAGTGGCCAATGCAGTGTGCAAAGAACTAGATTTTTGTAAAATGTATGTTAGAATTTAAGGTAAAGGAAAAAATCTAGATGTGTGTGAGGATTATTTCTCAGGGTGAAGTTTTCTCTAAGTACTGATTACTATAACTTTTACTGTAAGTAGCAGGGTGAAGTTTTGTCCAGGTGTTCTGTGTTTCTATTCAGATATTTCTTTATTATTCTCTAAAGACATGCATGTTCTCTCTCTGTTTTGGGTGTGTTTTTTTGTTGGGTTTTGGGGGTTTTTTTACCTCTTTAAATGTATTATTTCACATTTAAATTTTTCAAATTTAAATTTTTCAAAGACATCTGATTCATTTGTGTTTTTTCAGGGTCACATGGAGGGGGAAGTTTGGGGTCTAGCTACTCATCCTCATTTACCTATTTGTGCCACTGTAAGTGATGACAAAACCTTAAGAATATGGGATTTATCTCCTAGCCATTGTATGTTAGCTGTTCGCAAATTGAAGAAGGGTAAGATGCTTAGTTTAAAAAGGATTTAACTGAATTCAGTTGACATTTACTAGTATTATGAGTCTTTCAAGAGCAAGACTGAATAAATTATTTTATTTTCTGTAATTATTTTATTGATGTTCACAAGTTAAGGAGCCCTTAAGCTAATGAATCTGTACGAAAGATTTCTGTGTATTACTGCTCTTAAGGTTATTTGCATCTGCACCATATTTGAGTCAGCAAATTTACAATAAAAGTTGAGCCAAGTACATAAATCTACCATGTTCCTTACAGTACCTCAAGGTTTTTGAACAGTGGAGGACTTCAAATCTAGACGTTTTTGGAAGACATTTTAGAAGTGATGTTGAATTTCTCCTCTTTCTGAACATTAGAAGGAGGATTTAGAATGCCAGGGAAAGAAAACAACAGTCATTAAAATCATTAAATATCATTGTATACTATACAACTAAGATCTGCTTTGGCAGATGGAAAATCTGTTGTAAGTGACATAAGGAGACTAATTTACAAATTACACCAGACTGGCCTTAACAAGCTTTTAATGATATATGTGCTTTGCTGGACAAAGGAATCCATAGGCTTCTTCTGTTGGGCATTTTGGTCCAAACCTTATAGGAAGCTTAGTTAATTTGGATTGATAAAGTAAATGTAAGAAGAGTCATGAGCTGGCAGAAGCAGGGATTAAACTGCTTTTTCAACTGAAGTTGGTGAAGTGTGCTCAAGTCTTGAAGCAGATATTTCTTAATATTTTTAAGAGTAGTTTTGGCAGAAAAATGCAAACCGCAATAACTTAATTTGCTGATGAGACACATTTTGAGATGCTTTGGCGATCTTAAAAAGCACCTGTGTACTGTACCGAAAGAACTGGATGCTGCTGCAGACTGCAGTGATTGAAATGAAATGAGGCAAGACTTGGTGACTACGGAAGATGTCTTGTGTAGCTGGGATAACTGGGGAGCAGAAGGCTCAGGATGTTCTAGCTGATCACAGGAGGACAACTGCATGTGATAGTGATGTATTTTTCCCAGGATATATTGAAGTATACATGTATAATCATATATACAAATCAGAATATTTTTGGAGCACGCTTCTCATCTGTATTCAGCTGAATGAAATTAAACTGGAGGTTGAATATGGAGAAAGAGGAGCTACAGGTTAATGAATGAGCAGCTTTGTGATGGATTCAGCTAAATAAAGGATTTCTGTCTACAAGTTAATTAGAGGAACAAATAGTAGGGAAAAACATTTACACCAATGGAAAATTTGGGCCTGGAAACAAATCTATATATACTGACTGTAAAGAAGTTTAGATTGCTAATTATACCATTTTCCAAATGAAACGGGAAATGTTTATTAAAAGGGTTATATGATATAGTGACCATGATAGCAAACGACTCGATTCTGTCAGTCCAGGTCTTTTCCAGCTGTGTTACCCTTACCAGAGCAAATGGTAACAAACAACTGGCACCAGATACTAAGAAGGAGAGCAAATTTAAAAATATATAGACCATAATGAGTAATCTGATTACTGATATAGAAAAAACGTCAATTAATATGCAAGTAAATGCAATCTAAGATCCTGTGGTTGTGTATTGATTTGCCAATAGCTTCTGTGTGCTGTCATGGATGTAGAGCTTGGAAATTATCTTGGTAGCATCTAAAAAATTTCATTAGACTATATACTATAAAAGCAGCTTTCCTTTACTATTGGAAAAATAAACGTAAAAGAGGTATATACACTGTATATGTACCTGAATGTCATTTCTGTATTCCACATAGGAGGTAGATGTTGCTGCTTTTCTCCTGATGGAAAAGCATTAGCGGTTGGTCTCAACGATGGAAGTTTTCTGATAGTTAATGCAGATACCCTGGAGGATCTAGTCTCTTTCCAACACAGGAAAGATGTTATTTCAGAGATTCGATTTTCTCCTGGTAAGTGATCAAAATAAAGCTCTTCATATCAAGATCATTCAAACAAGCTTTATATAACTTTTAAAAGATAAAACAGATATTTGTAGCACTCTTTTGCATGTAAAAAATAAGTCGGCAAGACTAATATTAACGTTGTAAAAAATATTGGGTGTGACATCTTATGTTACTCCTTTTAAGGATGAGATGATTGGAATAGGTTTACTCATAGTAATCACCTGAACACAACAATCAATTGTAAGTCACAAATGTCCAGCAGCCTCCCTAGGTGCCTAGGCTCCCACTTCACGAGCCGCACAAGTTTGGCGCTTCACTGCAGTTACTGTTAGCTAATGAGAATGCTTGAAACTGATGTGTCAGAAAGTTCTGGCATCTTCTTTTTAATCCTTTCCCCCTTACAGTGTTTAGCACTCCCAGCGAGGCTAGATTTTTTTTTTTTTTTTTTTTACATAGTACAGCTCTTATTTAGGAATTCAAATGTTTGGCGCAAACTGATAATACTACTTCAGTGAAAACACTCTTCTGTAGAATAAATTTAATGCCAATTACTGATGCCAGTTCTTATGCAACATTACTTTCTGGTTACCTAAGCCCTACTACTCTGAGTGCAAGAAATGTTTAAAATATTATCAAACAGTTTGTAAAGATGTGATGGTTGTTTATTTCATACTGATTTTGAATATGTGATATGAACATTAGTCTGTCAGGGGCTGTGTATAAATTGGCAAGCTCATTTCAAAGAAATCAGAGTTGCATATAGCTAAATTTCAGAATGTACTTTTGTTTAATATACAGATCACTACAATTTTTGGAAATGTCTTGTTTCTACTGATGTGTTTTAGGGGCTGGAAAGTACTTAGCTGTGGCATCCTGTGACAACTTTGTAGATATTTACAATGTAATGAGCAGTAAACGAGTAGGAATCTGCAAGGGAGCCTCCAGCTATATCACACACATGGACTGGGACATAAGAGGCAAGTAGCATGCATGTTCAAAACCTAGTGGAAGATTGATTACATTATAGACTAAATACATTGCATCTACAGTATGAATTTCGTATCACTGACAGATTTGTCTCTTCAGTTTATGAATATGCTCATAGCATCCGAATGATTTTTTACTGCTATATGGATATTTAGAAGTTGTGCAATTTGAAGTAAAATAGATTGTCTACAGATTGGTTTGTTTGGTTTGGGTTTTTTTTAGCATCTTCTGTGTCTATTGTTTGACGTCTTGAATAATGTACTGCATAGTGCAGTTGCATCACTAGCTCAGGGATACGTATCCTTGTTGTCAGAAATAGCAGAAAGACAATTCCCTGTCTTCCTGTGTCTTAGTATGTGATTCATTTAAACAGTAACTCTAGTCCTCTGTCATATAAAAACAAGGCAGTGCAGTTGTGCAACCTATTAATTCCTGCTCTTATTCCTCTACGTAATCACTTTTGAAAAAGTCCAATTTAAAATTAATGTGAAAGAGTAGGCAAGCAGAAGACAGCTGCTTGGAACCAGCCATTGGCCAGGCAGCATATGTGCTTCTTGTTGCCAAGAGCATATGCATACTGATCAGCCAGTTGTCACAAACAGGCTCTGAATTAGACCCAGTACACTGTCATCTGATGGAACAACCATAAACAGGAGAAAAGTGATTCATTCTTATGGTTTTCAAGGAGAGGAGGAACTGTGAACGTGACGGGTCAAAGGATTCAGATCTTCATAGGGCCACACTTAGAGATCTACTGTTTATGTGTGCAACTTTTTCCAGTGGAAACAAATCATCTGTGTAATGCTGTTAGAAACAAAAATTTCAAAATAACCTTTTGTTTGGATTGTTTTCTTTTTCTGTAAAACGGAATCTTCTATTTAACATTAATATACAGTATGTTTTATAGGGAAGCTCTTGCAAGTCAACACTGGTGCTAAAGAGCAGTTGTTTTTTGAAGCTCCTCGTGGGAAAAAACAGACAATTCCTAGTTTGGAGGTGAGGAAATAGACTGCTGCCTTAACAACTTTGCAAACTAGAGTTATACAACAGTGTATATCACATAAGAGGCAATGATGTATAAAACTGTTTAGGTATTTGCTGTCCTTTATTTGCAGCCTGTTAAATTATATAACGTAACCATAAAGATAAAATAGCTAGGGGATATCACATTTGTCTCTTCTGTTAGAAAATGGACATTTGGCTGACATAAGCACTCATGAAGATTTCACTGGACTTCTCTACGCCTCTCTTGGTACCTAAACACCTTTGAAAACCTGTTGCAGATTACCTAACCCTAACTTCGCTGTGGAAGACCATACGTCTGTCTTTACATAACAATGCAATCTAGTATACATAATATACGCAGCCAAGTGTAGTATATTGTAGCTATAATATTGATTTCTTTTCTCAGACATAGGGCATTGTCATAGGGCAGAGAGTGAAAATGGATAATTTTTAAATAATATTTTCTATGAACTGACAGGCAGTGTTGAAAAACGTAATTTGTTTTTCTGTAGTCTGGAAGGGCAGGTAAGGTCATTTATTTAATACTTCTAGAGATTTTGGGACTAGAAGTTAATAGAGGTAAAATTAAGGGGGTCGAATGAAATACTGAAGTCAGAAAATAAGTGGTTAATATGTTAAAATACTGTCTTTTAGATGTGACTTACCTTTCTGTGCAAGGACTTTTACTTTAAATCAGATGTAGAAGAAAACTGCCTGGGAAGAAGCATGCTCTGTCTCAAACAGGTTGTTTTTGTAGGTAGAAAAGATTGGTTGGGCATCATGGACAAGTGTTTTGGGCTCTTGCTGTGAAGGAATCTGGCCAATAATTGGTGAAGTCACAGATGTAACTGCTTCGTGCCTCACTAGTGATAGTAAAGTATTAGCCACAGGAGATGATTTTGGATTTGTGAAACTGTTTCGATACCCCGCTAAAGTAAGTAGTTTTCAGCCGGTCGTGGAGAAGATTGATTAATGAAACTGCCTTTTCAAAACTGTAAAAATTCATCACTCAGAACAAAATAGTGCTTTTATACTTTTGTCTTTATGATGAAAGCAGGCATTCTGTTTTACCCTGCAATCTGCAAGGCATTAACCTTTCCATTAGTAAGAATGACCATTTCAGGTCTGACTAAAGAGCCATCTCATGCAGTAGTTCTGTCACTGACAGTGGCAAATGCATAGAGAGAACTGTAAGAGTGGGAATGGGACAGGCACTGTCTAATAGTATCTAAGGCATAACATCCTCAGTGTGGTTTTTATCGGTGTTGGTTTTGTCCCCTTAAGCAATTATTTTATATTGCTCACCTTCCTTTCACTGGTTTTATAGATCTTCGTTCTGTCCAACCTCAGTCTTTTTTCTCTAAAATGAAGACCTTTAATATTACTTAATCAAACATCACAGAAAAGCCATTTCAGGAGCACATTATATTTTTACTGGCTTCTAGAACCTTTCTAGTTTTCACGTATATTTATCAGTAAATGTCTTCAATTCGGAATAATTTGCCATGCTAGGGATTGTAATAATGCACAAGTATTGACTCAGAGTATTCTGTGTGTTTTATTCTTAATTTGTTAGATTATTTTCTCTCTTAGGAAAAATCATGCAGTGTTTATTGCTGGAGTATGTTTATAAACAAATTCTTGCATGCTTGGTGTGGAAATATGGTTATCATTTCAATAAATTAGTACAGGACAGGAACTTGGCAAGTGGTGATACATACAAATGCAAACCAGCTAAAGCAAAAACCGTAAAGAAGTTAAGAACATGTTGTTGTGCACTGGCATCTCATTCCATTTTTTATTCTACCGGACTGGTTAAATTTGATCTGTGACCTTTCTCCTCCCTCCTTAGGGAAAGTTTGGAAAATTTAAGAGGTATGTTGCTCACAGTACGCATGTAACAAATGTCCGTTGGACCTATGATGACAGTTTGTTGGTCACTGTTGGAGGAGCAGACACCTCTTTAATGCTGTGGACTTTCGAGATGGAAGGACATCGGGATAGCAGGCAGTGTGACAGTGAAGAGTCTGATCTAGATTCTGAAGAAGATGGAGGTCAGTAATAATTTATAAGAGTAGCTGGATTATGCTATCTCAAGACGACTTTTTTAATGAAAAACTGCTAATTTAGACATAATTGAATTTTATATATGATTGCTTTAATTTTAAATAGTGAAGATGCTTCAGAAACGTTAAGTAAAATCTCATTTTGGGGGAAGGACTGGTGAACTGTTGCAAAGAAAATGCTAACCGAGTGTTTGACTTAAGCTGTGAGTCGGAGTATGTAAGATGACTCTTGACATCTTTTAAATGAAAAAATAAGTGCCTAATATAGATAACTTCCAAAAATCTGTACGGAAAAATACATTTGTCACAGCTTACATTTGGGCACTAATTCAAATGGAATTATGTTGAAATCTGTGTAATGTGAGAGTTATCTCACAGCACCTATTTCCATAACGTGAAACCATAGGTAGACTGATACTCCTATATGGAATAATCTATTGCAAGATCATAATACGATTAGTTATATAGTGTTAATTACATCTCCTAGAATTAACTTCTGTTGGTTGTGCTATACTTAATGTTTTCCTTTCATGTTAGGTTTCCAAGAGTTCATAAGCTTCCAAACTTGTTCCCTTTGCTCCCAAGTGCAGTTTTTTCCTCCTTGTCAATTCCTCAGTGTTCAAGGATTTTTAAACTGTCACTGCTACTCTTTAAATAATTCTATGTAATAAATTGACATCAGTTTTCACTAAAATCTGCTAAATTACCAAAGGGACACTTTTTATATTAGAGACATATTAAACATTAATTGGAGAAGAGTTTTTATGCTCTTACTGCTTAAAAATATTGAAAACTACATCTGCAAAGTAATTTAATTGCCTACAGGAGAGTTGGTCAACTTTAACTTTCTGAATCAAAAATTGCAATTGTCAGAGTCATTGTTCAGCTTCTGCCTGTGACCTGTTAGCACATCTTCGCCCAGTAGGCTTCGGTAGGCTCTAGTGCTTTACACAGAACCCTCTTAAGCTATGTATTCAGAAAATACTCTGAAAGAGAGGTCACAGAATCACAGAATCACAGAATGGTTTGGGTTGGAAGGGACCTTAAAGACCATCTAGTTCCAACGCCCCTGCCATGGGCAGGGACACCTTCTACTAGACGAGGTTGCTCAGAGCCTCATCCAGCCTGGCCTTGAACACTTCCAGGGATGGGGCATCCACAGCTTCTCTGGGCAACCTGTTCCAGTGCCTCACCACCCTCTCTGTGAAGAACTTCCTCCTGATATCTTATCTAAACCTCCCCGCTTTCAATTTAAACCTGTTATCCCTTGTCCTGTCACTACAGGACCTTGTAAAAAGTCCCCCCAGCTTCCTTGTAGCCCCTTCAGGTACTGGATGGTGCTATAAGGTCTCCCCGGAGCCTTCTCTTCTCCAGGCTCCAGGTCCATTAAGCTTTAGAAAAAAGACATTGACTTCTTTGTTCAAAAAAGTTTCTTTTCATCAGGTCATATTAATTTGAGTTAGTGTTAAGAACTGTTCATAAAGTTGGCATTAGGAATCTTGATCTTTGAAAAAAATGGAGGGTAACAACCTGTCACTATTTAGCCTTTTTGCCATATTTAGTATAGTAAACATCATCTTGATGTGCCTGACTGTCCCTAAGCATTGTGTAGGAACCCTGTGCAGACCTATAGATTCCATCCTAATGGATGGATCCTGAAATTGAGAGCAACCTGGCGCTGAAACTCACAGAACTTAACAGGCAGTATCATGCAGCGGGGTCCTTTGTTAGTGACCCTGAGTTAAGGCCCCAGCCAAGCAGAAATGGGGTAGCTTTGAATGTCCCTTGAATCTTTGTTAACAAAAGACATTCTAAGAAAAAAAAAAAATCTCTACATTATCTTTGTGGAAAAAATGATTAACAATATTCATTATTCCCAGCTACTTTGTTTCTGTTTTGTGTTGTTACTAATAATACATGGTATAATAGTTTTTGTAGTTCAGTACATTGTTGAAAGCTGCACAGATTGTGATTTAATTTTTTCTTCAGGTGTCTTATTTTGTTTTGGTACCGTTCACTCTGATTTTATTAGGTTATGACAGTGATGTGACAAGAGAAAATGAAATTAATTACACCATCAAAGCCTTATCAACAAACATTAGACCAATGTTTGGAATTAAGCCTCATCTGCAACAAAAGGAGCCAACCTTAGATGAAAGGTAATTGCTAAATTACAATTCTTGCCAAGAAAGCAATCTGAAAAGATGATTAATAATAAAACATAATTATGTCGGAATATATATACATCTTAAACAGCTATGTACGAAAAGAGTGGAAATATTTCTTCAGCTTGAGGAATGCTAGTATTAGAGAGGGAAGTGAGGAAAACGCAACACAGTGCAATTGGGAGTAAAGATACAGAGGAAGCAAATTGAAAACTTTCTGCAGGAATGAGAACTGTTACAATGCACGTGCCTCTTTCTGCAGTGAAGCTGACATCTGTCATGCCCTTGTTGAGGAACGCAACCTGACGTCTGTGGGAGTTTCGGTGTTGTCTGTTGTTACCAAGTTCTTTCGCTGAAGGAAAGAATGGATGCCTGAGCATAAAGCTGTGGCTCCCTGTCTTACACTGAAAATGAAAAATGGTCTTTCTGTTAATTAGATATATTTGATGTGGAAATCAAGAAGAAATAATGTACATGGTATCAACATTTTGCATTTATATATATGTTTGTTAATAAAAACTGTGATTTAAGATTTATATTTTTTTTTAATGTAAACCTCTTGTATTTTTTCAATAATTTTTTCTGGAAGCTGAGTTGTGTTTTCAGTTTAAAATAAAATATTAAAGAAAATTCATTCTGTAGTAAGGTAACTAGGTTCTGATTCAAAATACATGAAAGTTCATGAAAGGATTCCATTACCTGCATTGTTTAAAAGTTTGGGGCCCTAAACCTTCAAATAGAATTATTGTGGAGAATAAAACCAGAATATGGTTACTGTATGCATTTTAACTTGTGTTCTGCTAAAGTTAATCGTATGTGAGATTGGTAAATGTTTTAGTAAGTCTACCTTCGTAGATACTAATTTTTATTTTATATTTTATTTCCCTTTCCTTTTGCTTCCTGTGAAGGCAGGGGGTAGTGAGGTAAGTTCTTTACACAAAGTCCAAGATCAAACATGCTTTCATAACTTATGCTGCATTGCAACAGAATATACTTGCTATATTTTGAAATAGAAGTGAAGGCTTTAACTGTTCACTCTTAAATAGTAGCTTGTTAATGGGTAGAAAAGCGATAAGGGACAAAGAATAAGCCCAGTTCTCAGTCTGACTAGATATGAGTGGGTGCTAAATTGAGTATTTGGGAAGGGTGATCTCATCCTTCTTCCCTGTGAGGGTGACAGAGCCCTGGAACAGGCTGCCCAGAGAGGGGGTGGAGTCTCCTTCTCTGGAGACCTTCAAAAGCCGCTTGGAGTTGTTCCTGTGTGATCTACTCCAGGTGATCCTGCTCTGGCAGGGGGGTTGGACTGGATGATCTCTAGAGGTCCCATCCAACCCCTGCCACTCTGTGTGAAATGTGTGTGTGAATTCTCTTTTCCTCCACACTCTGGAGTGACTAAGGAACAGCTTGACTTAAGCAACTGGTAAGAGCTCACCTAACTGATGTGGACTTCTGTAAGAGTATGTCACAGTGTTGGTACAGAGTTCCAGCATGAAATAAAAAGTGCAGGGACCATGGTGCAGAGATGAGGCTATAAGGGCAGTATCACCACATCTGCACCACTGTGTTGGAGCTTATAAAGCTTCGGGGACGAGAGGAGCATTATTGACTTGGCTGCAGCATTTCACCAGTGCACCTACACTGCTTAAGGGTCTGAGCTGCTGGGCCTACCCAGCATTGATATATGCAGGGTCAGTAGCTTAGGTGCCTACAACAGGTAATGAGTTTTACACATACTCCATTTAGAATATATTCGTAGTCAAAAACATGCCATTACATTTGGAGCACAACAGATCCTTAGGCTGTAGGCCACTCACCAGCCTTGTAGACTGAGCTGCCAGGACATTTGTACCTACACTGGTTAAGAAAGGAGAACCCTTCTCATACCTAACTGGGCCCGTTTCCGCAATGAAATCACATCCCTGTGGTGACAGACAAATTGACATCATCAAGAAAGCCACTGTCTTCATCTAAATATTAGATCATACCACTAACAACCTTTATCAAATTAATTCCTGTTTTAGGCTTACATTTTTCTTTCTTATCTGTAAAGTCAGTATTTCTGTGGAAGTTATACAGGCTTTTCTCCTGTGTTCATTTTCAAGGTACTTGGGTGTACTGCTCAGAGTGTGGGTGGTACATCCTTGGCATTCCATGTTATGTGTAGGCTTGTTACAAAGACTGCCAAACATTAGAAGAGATACTTTCTTGTCATTACACTTTCTTGGAATCTGTGTATTCTCAGGATCACAGGTACACACCAGTGTAGCATGTGCTTCTGAGAATGTCTTCTAAGTAATTCTGACTTTGTGTATAAAGGAGATTTACTTTATCCTGAGTAGTGAATTTGCTTATATAGAGAACAGATATGATTTTTAGTATCCAGAGTATTAAATGAGATAAACAATAAGAGAACACTACAGGAAGAAGCATACCTGAAATCTCATCTTCTTCCTACTTCTGTCTCACAGAAGCCTATTTGTGAGACCAGCAGTTGCAGTCTGAGACGGTGGCCTAGATATACATTCAGAAATTACTCAACTGGGTGCCAAAAATGGATTCACTAGAATTATTTTGATTCTAATATTGTTAGAAAGGTTAAGTTGGTCTCAGCTTTTATGTTGTAAGTAGTAGGATAACGTAGGAAATCAGAGTTTTAGGCCATTTAGTCTATGAAAAATTCAAATACACATCACCAGGTAGGTCAAAACTGTGTCACTCCTTTTTGCTAAAGCTCTGCAGAAAGAAATGAGAGAATCCCTGTGGTCAGAAAGGGAGAATAATCAAAAGAAGCTGCAAAACACTGCAGTCTGGTGGGCAGGTAACTTCTCTGTGAGGTATGGAATGTGGGATTCCACTTTTGGTGTAGCATAATCATTTTCTTCCAGTGACCCTTAATCAAAAATGTAAATGCAATTCCCAGAACATGAATCTGAACAAAGGATTATTTTTGCTCTCCAACTGAGATAGTGTCCTGTTCTCAGTTTTCTGGGTTTGCCCATAAATTACTTTTTTCCCATGAAATAACAATTTTTGTATTCTTTTGTTTTCCCCTGCACAACAGTGCTGTAAAAGTTGACATGCTTCATAGAAATATGTTGAAGCCTTAAATTTCAGGCATGTTTTTTTGAAAATCTTTGGATGCTAGAACTCAAGATTTCAGGGTCAGTTGGTTTAAGGCTTGCTTGCAGTGTAGTTTAAGGCCACCTCTACTAATGATATGCCATTCTCTAGCAGTAAAATTACCATAATATATCATTGATGTTGGAATACTTGTTTTAACTTCTGCTGAAAACATAAAATGGCACAGGCTGTGAGACCAAGGGGTGTGAGAGAGGGAGGAAGCTACTGAAATGAGGCTTCTTGTATCTGAACCTTACAATTATCGCCTTGTAATTGCCGCTGAAATTCAGAGATTTTATACGAACATCTTCCCTATCTTTTGTATAAATGGACAGAATGCAATTTGATTTTTTTCTTTTTGTTTCCCAGTCTAGTGACTTGATGGGAATGTAAATAGTACAAATTTCAAAGGGTTTTTTTTTTTGTTGTTTTTTTTTTGTTGTTGTTGTTTTTTTACAAAAAGATCAGCTTTATCCTCTTGTCCTCTTGTTTTGCTCTATTAGTGTGTGTGATTTGGGCGAGAGGAGAAGCCAGGAATCAAAAATTATAGCAGGCCACTTTCTATTAGCAGTTTCTTCCCTCTCTCTGTGCATCCTGTTTGCAGAATAAATTAGAATACAGTGAAATTTAAATTTACCTTTTTCTTTTTTAGAAAGATTTAGAAAGAAGAAGGCAGGGCGTTTTGAAGCTAACCTTTCTGTGAATCCGTTTCTGCACATTTGAATATACGTTAGTGGAGGGCATTAACCTTTTACAAGGACCTGTAGTGGTAGGATGAGGGATAACGGGTTGAAATTGAAAGTGGGGAGGTTTAGATTAGATATCAGGAGGAAGTTCTTCACAGAGAGAGTGGTGAGGCACTGGCACAGGTTGCCCAGAGAAGCTGTGGATGCCCCATCCCTGGAAGTGTTCAAGGCCAGGCTGGATGAGGCTTTGAGCAACCTGGTCTAGTGGAAGGTGTCCCTGCCCATGACAGGGGGGTTGGAACTAGATGGTCTTTGAGGTCCCTTCCAACCAAAACCATGCTGTGATTCTAACCTTGAGACTGAAAACCCTGAAATTTCTGGACATTTCATTCTTCACAATCAAGAATTCCATTAGCATTAGTTAGTTGTATTACTGTGTCTCTGAGCAGTAGCAATAGACTAGAAAAGCATTATGGAAAAGAATGGTCTCCCTTTACCAGTTTGGGGTAACTTATTTTTTCTCACGAATATGAGCTAACTCATGTCTTTGAGAAAACCAAAAAGCCAATTACCAAGGTATCAAGGTTTACCAAAGCATCTCCTGTTCTGAATGCAAGGAAAAAAAGTATTTGTTTTGCAGCCAAAATAATCAGATACGACCAGGAAAGAAGTGTCAAGAGGAACAATTGTATGGCCCAGTGAGGAGGAATGCAATATTTGTGTTCGGGTCGTGATCTGTGTAGAATGACTTTATCAACAGGGCCTAAGAAGTTACGTCAATAAAATGCATTTATTGAAGGCCTCAGGAAAAGGATAACTGAAATACAGGCATATTGCCAGATATATTGAATACAGCGCCAATAAGTCTTGTTTATTTCAGTGATGAAGACAGCACAAAAAAATGCAATTAAATCTGCCTTATATCAATTAGGCATCCTATTATATTTCCATATATGTAAATATTTACCAGCTATTAATTTGATGTAATAAAATTAATTTGATTGTCACATATGGTCCATGTGGCCAATCTCGTTCCATACTTACATTATGAGACTGAAAATGTAGAATTGGACATTAAAGAATTGAAACTGCCAAATGAAAGCTAAAAATTTTCCTCTGACTGTACGAATATTTGGTTCAGCGTATTCAGGAAAGTTGTAAGAGAAAAGGTCTGAAGGTATTTAATTCTGTAGTTCTAGAAGAATTGCACGTTCTTGACTGTAAAACGTGTTCAAGATGCACTTGAATTCTACTGGGAGAAAAGGTTTAGCTGTTTGCTATATAAAGAACTAGTGCACCAGTCTTGCACTGCAGATTAAAGTTGGAGCTAATTAGAAGAGATTCAGTAAAACAGATAACTTTTATTGGGGAAAAAAGAACCCATTTGTAACTTGTTAACACTGTTTTCTTAATTTTCTGGAAAGTTTTCCCTAACAGGTGAGAGAGAAATTATTTTTGCTTCACCTCTATGGGGAAAAGACTAAAAACTAACTAGTCTTTGCTGCGGTGGAATTGCTTGGTAGTTCTTAAAAGAAAGAACTTGACACACTTCAGAGGTTTTTAGGTCTGCTTCTGATTCTCTGTTAACAGTAGGAATAATTCCTAAGAAATATATTCTCATGCCAACACGTGTTCATAATTCCCATTTAAGTAATGGGAGTTTTCTGTACAAATAATAAATTTCTATAACCTATGAAGTTGTGAATAATCCCCTTGTTGCAAAAAGAAGTAAACCAGAAAGTCAATAATAATTCTTTCTATGAATAATTCACTGACACCTAGCTTTCAGCAAAACTTGTATAAGTAATTCTTTTCTCTTTCCCACGTGCTGCTGAAAAGAGGTTCCAGGTAATGCTTTTATTTTGCTATCTAGTCCATATTTTACTGTCATCTCCCATTTTCTTTAAAAAGCCATCTGTCATGTTGGGTGCTATACCATGCACCTGTCACTCTTCAGAAAATCGCTGTGTTAAAAAGTCTACGTTTATATGGATTCATAGCAGTCATGTACCATACAGTAAGCTAGATATTTATTTACCCACCATTACAAAATTAGCTACATGGACCATTAAACTTGCCTGTGTTTTACAAATAATATTTTTCAATAATATTTATGAAGTTGTATAGATTATCACTCTTGTCAGTCCCTAGAGGACAGCTATCCACCTCAAAGGTGGATTGTTTTACATTTGATGGGACAGCCTCACCTGAGAAGTCAGTGTACATGTTGGTAAACTATTTAAGTATTAGATTACGTATATCCACATTAGTGCATCCAAAATGGCACTTAATACTCACAGGACACTTGAAAATAATTATGACTAATCATTGTCAAGAAGTAGTATTTAAAAACTACCAGGTTTCATTATCTTCTAATGGAAATCAGACCCCTAAAGTTTCACAAGTGACTTAAAAAATCTTACCAAAAGTGGATGGAAAGAACTCCTCCTTACTTTTAAAATTAGTTCTCTACTTTGTGCTTGCCAGCACCTTTTGGGGAGGGCTGTGAAAGTTGCTTCATGCTGAAGGCTAGTGCAAAATGAACTGCTAAGTTCTTTGCAAGTCCCCCAGAGTATGAGGTGCAGCTGTGGTGACCCTCACAGAAAGGGGCTTTTTTAAATTACAGCTCTGACTCCAAAATATCTATGAAATCATGCCCAAAATAATACTTGATTTTTAAAACAGAAGTAAGTACTGTAATTGACACTGTCCTAAGTTAACGTGGAAGTCAAAGAATTGATGGCAGTTTTTATTAGGCACAGAAGACCATCCCTTGTTCTGTTAGTCTTGGAATTAAATAACATCATCAGTATCAATAACAAAAATAGAGAGTATATAATAACAACATCATACAAGAAAACATGAGTGGCAGTATCAATAATATTGAAACTGTCTAAAACTATGAAAAAGGGTTTATTTGTTTCACAAATTACTTCCAAATGCTTGTATTCCATTTTTATGGTCTCATAACAAGAAATTAAAATATATATACTGATTCTTTTTTCATGTTGAAATAAAATGCCAATATGAAGTTATTTATTTCCCCTATGATAGATGGCTGGAACTCTCCTTCCACATGTTCAAACTGACCCTGTCCATACATTCATTCACCCCCAAATGTTATTCGTGCTCTCCTTCCCATGATTTGCACACAGTTTTTGAGCATGCAGTCAGTTATATGGGCAGGTACGTGATCACTGGGTGTTGTATATGCCATTAGTCACTTTCCTGCACATTAAATAGCACATGAAAAATACCTTCAGTTTTTGCACCTTTAAAAAAAGCACTTGGAAAATGTATTCTGGTGTCCTTCAACATTC